GGGGGGCGTCTTGGGCCTCTTCGAGGCCTCTTGGGGGCGTCTTCGGGGGCTCTGGGAGCCTCTAAGGGACCTGTTGGCCTTCGGAGGCAGTCTTGGGGGGTCTCTGGGCAGTCGTCGGTTTTTTGTTTGGTGCTTTAGGGCTGTCTTTGGAGGTCTGCTGGCCGTCTTGGGTCCTCTTGGACAGTCTCGGAGCCCTCTTGGACCGTCTTGAGGGCTCCTCAGTGCCCTTCTTGCCTCGTCTTGGGCGCCCCTGGCCTCAGGAACAAAGTCACGCGAGAAGCCCCAGAAGGCAGGGGCCACACCCCAGGAACGCCAGGATCTCTGAGTTCTGGGTTCCTCACGAGTTCTTCCAGTATTCAATACAGATGCAAAGAAGGCCAAGGGGCCTGAGGGCACTCCAACTTGTGCCTCGAGGAGCGGTGGCAGATTCGGAAGCAAGAGGGGCGTAGGATGGGAAGGAGTGGGAAGGAGCGGGTGGCTGTCCCAGTCTTCATCCCCTGGCCCTGGCGGAGGCGCAGGGGGCCCCGAAGCCATCCGGACCCCCCCGGGTGCTGGCTGATGCATCCGCGGCCGGCGATGCCGCACTGTCTGCGTGAGGCATCACGTGACTATTTGTGCCCTGTCTCCGCCCGCGCCGACGAGCAGGAGACGGATGGGAAGGAGGAGTCATTCGATCCCTTCGCACGCGTTGCTCAGTCGGCTTCATCTCCCAGCCCCCTACGGTTTGCTATCATTTTTGTGCCTGCATTTCCTAAGCCCTGTATTTCGTTATTTCTTCCTCTCTCTCTCTGTCTTTGTCTAGCTCCCCGTCGCACCTTAGGCAACCTACCCTGTTCTTTGCTCTGCTAGGTCACCCTTGCTGTCCTGCTCTATCTCCTCGACCTCCGCGAACCCCCCTGTCTGCCATGCGAGCTGGTGAGCAGGGCTTTGTAGCGACAGGTCGTCTCGATCACGCGAAGATTTGTCTCTCGACCCGTAGGGCGAGCGGTTCCAACGGGCCACGTGCCCACCTGGGGCAATTACGACCCAGAGGCGGATGATGCGCTGGCTTCTCCTCTTTCCGAATCGGTAGGCGAGGTCGCAGAGGAGGAGGGGGTCGGGGCAAGGGGTATGGGAGTGATCACCGCACATGCATGTCTCTTGTAACATCCACAACTGCATATCATCCTGCCCATATCATTTCCATTATGCTTTCGTCGAATACCCTAAATGTGGGTTTCTTGTGCTGGTGTCACGCCTTTGCCTCATCATTCCTGCCTCTCGCATGCAGACGGCTCACACTCGAACTACACTCACTCATAATCGGGAGTCAGATTCATTCACACTTGGACCACTCACGCTCATAATCTCTCATACTCCGTTTCGCAAGCTGGGGCCCACTCAAACTTATGCTCAATCGAATTGCGTCTCACTCAAACACTCACACACAGACTCAGTCACACTCAGGGTCACTGAACAGAGACGTACTCATGCTCAGACTCACTCACAGACTCATTCGCTCGTACTCAGACCCGCTCATTCGTATTCCCTTATGCGTAGACTCGCTCACACTCAGACTCACTCACCGCGATGCAACAGGCATTGCATTTGGACCACTGGAGGGGGTGTCGGCAAGGGGTGTTTCACGGGACTGCTCGCGCCCCGCATTTTGGGGTTGTCTTAGGCGAAACGCCCGCGATGTGGCAGGCACGGCATTTTGATCACCTAAAAGGGGTGTCGGCCATGTGTGTTTCGCTCGTTTCCGAACGTGGACGCGTGTCTTCTCAAGGCCCCATGGTCACCGCGATGTGGCAGGAATGGCATTTGCACCACCCACGGGGTGTCGGACATGGGTGTCTTGCTGGCTCGCGCATGCCCGGATTGTGAGGATGCATCAGGCGGAACGTTTGTTCTGTGCAGCAGTCGAGCGTTTCCTCAGGGCCCCATTGTGACCGCGATGTATCAGGTCGGAGGTTGTGGGGTGAGATCGAAGTGAAACGGAGTCGCCCAAACTGGAAGTCGAGTTCGGTTTCGATTCGTGTCGTGCGTGGCGTGCGTGCGGGCGAGGCGATGCGAAGTTGCGGGAGTTCCTGCTTTAGTTGAGGCCAAGGCAGGCTGAAATGAGTTGCCCCGGTCAGGCCTGGCCAGTGGATGCGGGTTGCCCCGACGGTTTTCCTGATGGTCCTCCCGTTGTCCTGGTGGTTGTCCCGTGGTTGTTCGGATGGTTGTCTCGATGGTTGCCCCGATGGTTGCCCCGATGGGTGACCCGATGGTTGTCTCGAGCGTTGTCCCGATGGTCGTCCAGGTGGTTGTCCCGATGGTTGTCCCGATGGTTGTCTCGATAGTTGTCTCGATGGTTGCCCCGATGGTAGACCAGATGGTTCTTCCGATGGTTGTCTCGATAATTGTCCCGATGGTTGTCCCGATGGTTGTCCCGAGCGTTGTCCTGGTGGTTGTCCCAGGGGTCGTCCCGATGCTTGTCTCGATGGTTGTCCCGATTGTTGTCCCGATGATAGATTGATTGATTGGTAGTGAGATCGGTAGATAATGATGCAGACATCCGACAGATCGACACATGCACGGATAGGGAAATCAATAGACACTGATATCGATCAACATCGATACACATGGTTTTGTTATTCACACGTATGTACACGTTAACAGACAGAGGGGCATCGACTGAGATGGACCGATGGATCGTGATATCGGTGAGTAGATGAGAGTGGGATGGGTAGAGAGACAGCAGCATTCCGACGGTTGTCCCGACAATTATTTTGATGGTTGCCCCGATGATTGTCCCGATGGTTGTCCCGACGGTTGTCCCGACCCATGGTTGTCCCGACGACTGGTCCGTTGCTTGTCCCGATGTTTGTCCCGATGCTTGCTCATGTGCTTGTCCCGATGGTTGTCCAGAGAGATTGGTAGTGAGATCGGCCGACGTTGTAATAGTGATGTTTATAGTCTGTCATCAGACCCATAGAACTCAGACCGAAATCTTCTACATAGATGGACGCATAAAGTGGTTGTTCCGATGGTTGTCCCGATGTCTCTCCCGATATTTGGATCGCGAGATAATTTCTGTCCAAACTTGAACACCTGATACACATATGTATATATATATATATATATACATATACATATACGTACACTAACTTATATTTACATATGTGTATATATATACATATATATATATATATATACCGACAGTCGTATAAGATAACGGCGCGGTGAGCTAGGTATACCTGTACATTTAACACATTGAGATGTGCATGTGCCCCAATGTGTGTGTGTGTCCACTCGTGAATTGAAGTGTGCGTTCGATTTAAGTTCAAAAAAAAGGGGGGGCAACACCCCAAACCTCCTTATCACCCAAATGGTGGTCCTATAGGTGTTGCACTTGGACCTCCCAAGGAGTGTGGCCTGTGTATGTTTCGGGGGCTTGTTCGCGCCCAGATCGTGGGGTTGTCCCAGGCGAAGCGCCCGTTTTCGAGAGCAGACGCGGACCTCTCACGCCCCCAGGGTCACCGCAAGCGCTTGCGATGTCAACATGGCTAGTTTGACGAGGGGATATTGCCGCCGTTTGGGTGCCTGCGGGCCCCCGCGCAGTCTGGGCGCGAAGGGGCTCGTGTCATCACGGGCGGGTCAAATGTGATGCCTGCAACATCGCCGGGACGATGGTGCCCTGAGCAATCGACTGGACGTCAGAGTGCCCTTTCGCCGAAGTGACCTGTGGTACCGGCCCAGTGGGGCCCCCCAATCGCCGAACGCGATGCGACAGGGGCGTCTTGCGCGCCTGTGTTTGGCCCCCCCGCGGCCCCCAAGAAGCCGCGCACCAAAGGTCACTCTAGCCCAGGGTCACTCCTGCGTGTAGCCGAAGCAAGCTCGGGTCTCTTTTCCAAATGGGGGGCTTCGCCTGATGCGTCCGCACAGTCTGGGCGCGAACGGGCCCGTGAACTACTCCTGGCCGACAACCCTGGGTGAGGTGAATGCCATGCCTTCTACATCGCGGTGGCCTGGAGGAGGAGGAGGAGGAGGAGGAGGAAGACGAAGAAGAAAAAGAGGAATAAGAGGACGAAGCGGAGGTTGAGGAGGAGGAGGAGGAGGAGGAGGAGGAGATGGAGGAGAACATGATGTGGGCAAAAACATTCATAGTATGTATCTGTATATATATATATGCATTTATACGACCACCCTTCGGATGGGTGATAAGGAGGTTGCGGGGGGAGGGGGGGGGACGGAACCAACCTCTCACTCAATTGATCTCACCACCGATCTCACTATCGATCTCACAACCGCTCTCGCTATCGACCTCACTTTCGATTTCACGATCGACCTGTATCTAACCGATCGATCTCACGATCGACCTACCGATGATACAATCGATCTCACTGTCGATCTCACAATCGATCTCACAATCGATCGCACACCGACGGGATGCCGACGGAGCACCGACGAGACACCCCCTGCCGCCGCCGCGGACACGGACGGAACACCGACGGAGCACCAACGGGGCACCATGGCGGGACATTTCGGCGGGATGCCCCCCCGTCATGCGGGTCCACTGGAGGGGCGGTCTTTTGTTTTGCCTCGCCCCAGCCACATCGGGGTCATTCCTCTCGCCCGCCCACGCCGCTTCGCCTCGCCCGCACGCACGACACCAAAGCCGATTTCCCGTTGGGGGGCTCTCCGTTCCACTTGGACCTCACCCTCCAACCTCCGATAGAGAGAGATTCGGCCCGTCAGGAAGCAGGACACAGGAACAACGTCACTACCCGCGACAATGTGGTATGCCTTGTTTTCACGGCCTGTTTCTGTGCTCGCTTGGTTTGGTCTGTCATTCAAAATTTCGCTGGACAGCTTCACCCGTGACCGGATTCCTGTCACCCACCCGAATGCCATCGGACACCGGCTCGGGCGACATGACACGACGGCAGTTCGGGCAACAAAGTAGGTAACTAGTTGGCACGGTGCAGCGAACGGCACTCGGTCTTCTCACCATCCGTTGCCGTTCTGGCTCTGTCAGTTATTGGGATATGGTTGCTGTCCCCGCAGCAAGCAAGCAGAATGGTAGAAACGATCGCGGCAGCGGTGCACAGCGACTCTGAGGACGACGCCTTTGAGAGGAAGATTCGGAGCTTGCTCCATGAGGCCCAGGCCGACTGTTTGGATTCCATCTCGAAGCAGCTAGCGTCGCAATGCCACGCGTGGAAGGACATGAAGCCCCTTGCCCGAGTCCTACTATCTCATGCTCTCCTGAGGCCACCTCGCCACCGGGGCAGGAGGAACGAGGCGGGTGAGGCTGAGGACGATGGAGAGGATGACTGGGTGGTGGAGGAGGACGAGGAGGATGGGGGGAAAGGTTCGCAGGAGTTGGCTGTGAAGAGGGCGGATGGGGGAAGGGGTCCTGCTATTTCATTATCTCCCAGGTCTTCCTGCCCCCGTGGCCTCCCACTCCGCCTCCTCTTCGGCCCTCCTCCCTCCTCTTTCGCCTCCTGCCGGTCGGCCCTTATTCCTCTATCTCCCCCCTCCCTCTCCTCCTCTCCTTCTCCTCCTCCTCCTCCTCCTCCTTCTCCTCCTCTCCCTCCTCCTCCTCCTCTCCCTCCGCCTCCTCCTCCTCCTCCTCCTCCTCCTCTGATACGCTGGGCTCCTCCTCCTCCTCCTGCTCCTCCATGATTCTGACGGCCAGAAGGTGGACCGTAGAGCAGGTGGCAACACTTCCCCACCGCGCTGCACCCGATACTCGCTGGTCACTCGCTTTCATGTGCTAAGCTGAACGCGTACGGCGGACGTATGGCTCAGTCTTCCTTCTTCTCCTTCTCCTTCTCCTTCTCCTTCTCCTTCTCCTTCTCCTTCTCCTTCTCCTTCTCCTCCCCAGCCTTCTCCTCCGGTGATCGCACGCGCACGCCTGTCCCCCTGGTTTTTCGGCTTTCCCTGGCCCTCCGTGTCAGCACCCCTCAGCGCCCAGCCGCGTGGGCCCAACCCAAGATGGTTTCTATCTTTGGCGGACCTCTTTTCATGCAGAGATTTACCACTTCTTTGGCCATGACGTCGAGGGCATCACCATCAGCACCACCACCGTCAGCACCGTCGCCAGCAGTGCCGACGTCACCATCATCATCATCATCATCATCATCATCATCATCATCATCATCATCATCATCATCATCATCATCATCATCATCATCATCATCATCATCATCATCATCATCATCATCATCAACATCATCATCATCATCATCATTATTATTATTATCATCATCATCATGTCCCCAGGCCGGAGCTCCACGAGATGCTGGCCGAGCTCGTGCCCCGGCTGAGTGCGCTCCTCCCCGAGCTCCCGGCGGAGGCCGAGGGCGAGAGCCCCGTGACCTTCGCGAGGCTCTGTGCGCCGAGCGCTCCAGCTCTGGAGCCGCTCGTTGTTCTCCTGCTGCTCCTCATGTATCTCGGGGGCGGCAAAGAGGGGGGATGATGACTAGGGGGGGTGGATATCATGGCGGGGGCCATGATATTTCCCCAGATCTCGTGGCGCCTCTGCTTATTTCATTACGTCCCTGCCCCCCCCGCTGGGCCGCGCACATGCCGCCGGTCATGACTTGCACCCCCCCCTCTTGGACACCCCCCTCTTGGCCGCTCTTCATTTATCTCGCACTCCTCTCTATGCTCCTCCTGCCGTGTACCCCCCCCCTGCCAGCGACGTTTCTTTTCTCGCCCTCCGCCTGCTCCTCCTCCCCCCTCCTGCTGCTGCTCCCCTCCCTCCTGCTCCTCCTCCGTGTCCTTCTCTTCGCGCGCGATCGGCAGCACACGCGCTGAAGAAGGAGGATGAGGAGGAGGAGGAGAAGGAAAAGGAGGATGAGGAACAGAGACGATGAAAAGGGAGGAGGAAAATGGATGAGGAGGAGGACGACGACAGGGGGGGAGGGGCAGTACGAAAAAGCAGGGGGGATGAGGATGATGATGCTGATGATGATGATGATGATGATGATGAGGAGGAGGAGGAGGAGGAGGAGGAGGAGGAGGAGGAGGCTGGTCGCCGCGAAGTGTTTCCCGCCTCCTTTATGATGCTCACCGGCGTCCTCCATCCGTTGTCCATGTCCAAGCTCTCCGTGAAGTATGTGCTGCTGTCTGGGTTGCTTGCGTCGTCGATGATCTGTTGTAGCCGTTGTTCGATTTCTTGCCTGGAAGGAGTAGCCGCGTGCTCGGAGCTCAACGCCCTAGCCAAGCCCATGCACTCCCTATATATGTCCATCTTCTGTGGTGTTGTGGTACAGCTGTACTCTTATCTCGAAGTGGTAGGCGATGTGGTTGCGCGGCCGCGTGTCTGGTATCGCCTGCAATCTTCTGTTCGTCTGGTACGCCTGCGTGAACTTCGAGACCCTGTCGATGCAGTCGTTCGTGATCATCATGGCGTGGCTCTCGTGCAGCTGTCTCACCGCTCTGCCTGTGTACTGCTCCTCTGGCTTTCCGTACTCTCCCATTGCTGTCGACACACAATATGGTCATTTGTATTCCTCGTGCCAGTCCTCTTCCGTGGTTGGCGTCCATAGCTATGATGGGCATGGATATCGTGGGGGGCTGCTCAGGACCTGGTCCGTCATCCTCATGATCTTGTGGGTCCCTGGATCTCTGGCAGCAGTCGAAGGCGATGATGGTAATGTCAAATTGTGACCTCTGAGACGTAGCGCTGCGAATCGACAACGACGACCAGGCGTACCGCTCCACGTCCTGACTATGTTCTTGGCTCTGATGGTGTTCTTGCGCAGCAAGATAATTACCCGCACGTCTTATTGGACAGCTCGTCTTTTCTATAGCCGACATGGACGGCCTTGAACCTGTTCATGAGCTGAACGCGGACCTCGCCGCCGATCCACGTCGCCCTTTGGGTGCCGATCAGTATAACGACGTCGGCGTTCTCGAACTCCTCTACTATCTCGAGCTGTCTGTTCTCCGTGCTTCTGGCGAGAGGCATCCATGCGCAGAGGAACGTGGGGGGAGGGGGGAGGGCTCCTTGGAAGCACCCCTGCTTCTCAGAAGGCGCGGGCCCCATCTGTAGATGCGAGGGCGGCGCCTCCCTCAAGAAGCGGCCTCCCCCTGAGAAGCCCTCCCCCCTCCACCCCCTCCAGCCCTCCCCCCTCCCTCCTCCTAAGAAGCCCTCCTCCCTCCAGCCCTCCCTCCTCCCCCTTCTCCCTCCCTCCCTCCCTCCTTCCCTCCCTCCCGCCAAGAGTCGCACCCGCGCGAGTGCCAGCACTGCCAGCACTCGCCGCATCCGCGCCGCCCTGGTCCACGCGGCAGCTGGGCAGGCCCCCCCCCCGCACTTTCTAGGCGAGGGGGAGGCGGTGTGCCGCGGGGATGCGCGGCGCGGCCCCCTGGCGGGCGCGGAGGAGGAGGAGGAGGAGGAGGAGGAGGAGGAGGAGGAGGAGGAGGATGAGGAGGAGGAGGAGGAGGAGGAGGGGGAGGGGGAGGAGGAGGAGGAGAAGGAGGAGGAGGAGGAGGAGGAGGAGGAGGAGGAGGAGGAGCAGTAGGAGAAGGAGGAGGAGGAGGAGGAGGAGGAGGAGGAGGAGAAGGAGGAGAAGGAGGAGGAGGAGGAGGGAGGGGGAGGAGGAGGAGGGCGGCGGAGGAGGAGGAGGAGGAGGAGGAGGAGGGGGAGGAGGAGGAGGAGGAGGAGGAGGAGGAGGAGAGGGAGGGAGGAGGAGGGGGAGGAGGATGGAGGGGGAGGAGGAGGAGGGGAGGAGGAGGAGGAGGAGGAGGAGGAGGGAGGAGGAGGAGGGAGGGAGGAGGAGGAGGGAGGGGGAGGAGGAGGGAGGAGGAGGAGGGGGAGGGAGGAGGAGGAGGGGGACGGGGAGGAGGGGGGATGAGATTGGCCGTCCGTACCGAGCACGACATGCAGTCAGTGGGTTGCGACATAGTTCGATGCAGGCTGAAGCATTGCGCCTGTGTGGCACGGTCCGACGCGGGCCCCTTGACAGCCCCGCTGTCTCTCCGAGACGAGCAGGGGCGCCCCCGGCTGTCGTGGGCGAGGTTGATCGTTGCAGATATGAGCTTCTCTACAATCATGTGCGTGCCGTCCGCGGCGTGCTCCCATCACTTCCACTGGGCAGCGAGGCCCGGCATGAGCCCGTGGCGCAGCGCCCTCACGAGCGGAGGGGATTAGCCAGCCAGTTGGGTTTCGCCAGAACGGTTCGCGACGAGCATCGGCGTGCAAGTGCGGGGCCAGCGAACGTAGGCAGTTTCATTTGTCATGAGTGTCATGGGCGTGCCTTTGGCAAGTCCAAAGCGTACCTCAGCCACATGAAGACCAAGCACGGTGCACGCCACCCGATGCGGCTGTTCGCACGTGCCGGTGCGACGCGCCCTTCATGTCAGACGACATGTTCCACAAGATCTTGGTTGATCGCACACTTGTCGAGCGCCAGCGAAGGACCGACCCTGTACAGGAACTGGTGTCTTGCCAATTGCCACCCCTTGACGCAGGAAGAAACTGACGCGTTGGATGCATTGAATTCCCGAGAAAGGCGGCTCGCGCACAAGTCTAGGCTGAAACACCCAAGAAGAACAGCGTGAGCTGTCAGATCTGATGGCCCGAGATTGGGACGGGAGATGATGTTGGTGGTGATGATGCTGACGCTGATGTTGTTTTAACAAGGAGGACGAGGAGATGGAGGAGGAGGAGGAGGGATGAGGACGAGGAGGAGAAATGAGGGCGGAGGAGGAGGATGGGAGGACGGAGGAGGAGCCAGAAGGAGGAGGAGGAGGAGGAGGAGGAGGAGGAGGAGGAGGAGTCAGAAGGAGTCAGAAGGAGGAGGAGGAGGAGGAGGAGGGGCAGCGGGAGGAGGGTGACGACGACAAGGACGATGACGACGACGACGGCCCTCCCGAGGCTGCTGCTGAACGCGTGCCAGGACGAGTTCGAGTGCCTGCTCGCCTCGCGCGAGCCCGCGGACCCGGCGCTCGCCGGCGCGTCCCTCGTGGTTGCCGCCGCCGCCGCTGCTGCCGCTGCTTCTCTTGCTCCTCCGCCTCGAGGGGGATCGAGGATCGTCGTCGCACAGTGGGGGTGCGCATCAAGAAGCCATATGCTTCTCGTCAGGGTATCCTGGGTTTCTTCGCTCCGCGCGCTGCGCGGCGACTTCCCGCGGCTGTCGCAGGAGCTGCTGCGGTCAAAGTGCTCCAGGATTCCCCTCCGGTGCCCTTCGCGCGCGGGTTTTCAGGCGTGGGTTTCTTGCGAGGGTTTCTTGCGGCCGCGCCCGCACTGTAGCTGTTTCCGTTGTAGGAGTTCGGGAGGCGTCTTTGGTCTTCGACCCTCGGCCGCGTCTCATGAGGAGGAGGAAAAGGAGAAGCAGGAAACGGAGGAGGAGGAGGAGGAGGAGGAGGAGAAAGATGCCGAGGAGGAGGAGGAGGAGGAGGAGGAGGACGAGGAGGAGAACCAGGGCGGAGAAGGAGAGGAGGACAATGACGTGAAGGACGAGGACGAGTGGAAGGATGAGGATGCCCATGAGAAGGACACGTGCAAATAGACTGCGGGGCTCGAGCGCGTGCGTGTGCGTTGGGTCTCAGGATGAGGAAGACTGATCGAGGACCGAGGAGCAGGAGGAGAACACTCGTGCTAACATATTTTGTGCCGTTTCGGCGGCCCCCCGCTCCTCCGTTCCTCCTGCTCCTCCTCCTCCTCCTCCTGCTCCACCCTCCCCTGGCGTGCCTCGCCCGCGGGGCGCGGCACCGAGACCGGCAGGGCCCGCCCACACCACCCGCAGAGGCGGAGGCGCCGGTGGCGCACGCTCGCCCTCTCCGGCCCTGGCCGAGGGCCGCGCGCGCTGCCCGCCGGCGTGCGCGTCGGCGGCTGCGCCTGGCCGAGGCGCAGGCCGTCGGGCCGAGGACGCCGCGAGCAGGGGCACGGAGGCTTTGGTCGATGCACCGGGGCCCCGGAGAGCAGACGCTAGAGTCCACCCGCGTCAGGAGGACGGGCAGCCTTCCCAAGGATGCCCTTTTGCATCCTTGGCCCTTCGGCCCATCCTCGGCCACTCTCTCTGGCCGTGCCCCGCTGGAAGAGCGTCGAAGTGGCCCCCGAAGGCCCTTGCATCCTCATCGCGCATCCTTACTATACGGGTTGACTGTAGCCTTATGTCGGGCACGTCCCTCGACAGGAGGCATATTCGGAAATAGTAGAAAAATAGTCTGGGGGCGACTTTTGCGCATTTGTTTACTATCTTCGAGCATTTTTGTGGTATTTCTGATTTTCGTTCAAAATCCCCCCTTTGGGGGGACACGCCCGACTTAACGATGGCCAGCGATGGCCTGCACCCGGGGCCCAACAATCCGAAGTCGCCCCGCCCGAGGCGCTCGAAGACCAACCGCACCGCCGATCCCTTGACAAGCGGTCGGGCTTGCACGCGCCCGCCAGAATCGGGCCGTACGAAAGGGGGGGATTGGGAAAGGGGCGGGGCACGAAATTTGCTGCATGCAGCTGGTTTCGGCCTCACCGAGGGGCCCATTCCTCGATACATGGCCGCCTCTGGCGCCGGGAGGCGCCGGGAAAATCAGCTACGTGAGCTAGTTCTCAACCCCCCCCTTTGCTATCCCTCCCTTTTCGCACGCGCCCGCCAGAAACACAACTCGAGGTTCTCGAACGACCCAGCCCGATGCGGCTGGTAGCCGACAGCGCAGGTGTCTCCTGGGGGCCTCTGGCTAGGAGTTTCCGTAAGCGGAATCCGTGCACAAGTATCGGCGGGGCAGTAAACCTGAAGGCCGTCAGCAATGCATAGAGTTCCGCTCCGTCAGTGTCCTGAACAGGGGATGGTAACAATCCAGTGCTAATTGCGACAGGTGTGTCGCTGTCCGCTGCAGACACGACAACAGCCCATGCAGCAATACCTCTGTCTGGGGAGTCCAGACACAGCGACCCAGCCACCTCGAGGTCACACGTGAGAAGTTGGGGATCCTGCGGCCGCTGCAAAATACACTCATGTACCTCGGGCAGCGGCAGGGGTTATCGCCCTAACAGTAAAGGTGTGGGATCGTTCGGTTTGGCATTCAGCAAGACGGATCCGATTGGGTTGAGGATTTACTCTCCTACCGCCCCTGGTATTTGCTGACAAGCCGTCAGACGATGTAAGAATGCTCGTAAGGCCCTCGTACACGCGAGGCAGTTGGGAGACTCAATCGAGCCCTGTTAAAAATTGGCACTCATGACCACTGGGCTCCAGTGTTAGAACTCTCGCGGTGCGGACGGTGCTGCCAGGTAAGGTGCTCCTTGGTGCCCAGGAGGTGAAGCGGGGGCTCCTCCCAGAACCTCCGAAGCTCAGGAATCGCCGGCTGCCACAAAACTTGCACGGTGATCCAATCGCGAACCGCATATACACAACAACGCGTCATCACTCTTGGGCAGAAGTTCGCCAGGTGCAAGGGCGGCCCTTCAGACAGCTTCCAGGTGTGCTGCGCTCCTCCCAGACAGCACCCACTCGGGAAAGGGTGGCACATGGCTCCCCAGAGGGCCCACAGACCACCGGCCACATACCACTTTCGCCTGGCAGCGCCACGTGTGCAGCGCCTCGGCCGTGCCGCAGCAACTGTCCGGGCACCTGTCTAGCCCACAGCACAGAAGCACAAGCCGCAACAGTTCCAGAAGTGGCCCGCCAGGTCGAGTCGAAGCTCTTCTGCGGCGTCCAGGCGAGCTGGCTGGCGAGGCGCGTGCCGCTGGTCCTCGCTCGCATCAAGGTCAGCGGATGCATGGGATCGGAGCATGTCCAGGCCCTGAGCAGTGGTTCCATGACTGGAGGGCCCAAAAACTACCGACGGCCGTGGCCATGATGGCCATCGTCGTTATCAGAATTCCTCCTCCTCTCCTCCTGCTGCTGATGCGGCTCCTCCTCCTCCTCCTCCTCCTCCTCCTCCCCCATCCTCCTCAGTCCTCTGTCGTTGTCCTCCTCCTCCTCCTCCTCCTCCTCCTCCTCCTCCTAGGCCTCATAATCCTCTTTGTTCTTTCCGTCGTCCTCATTCTTCTTTTCCCCCCTCCCCCCTTGTCCCTTCCTCCTCGTCCCTTATTCCTCCACCTCATGCTCATCCTCCCCCCTCTCCTCCACGGTGAGCTGCGTCCACCTGCTGCCCGACGACAGCAAGTACGGCGCAGGCAGGATCTGGGATACCCTCGTTACGACAACCACCCGCCTTCGCACCTCTTTCCTCGCCCCCCGCGGGCTTGGAGAGAATATCATGACGAGGAGGATGATGAGGAGAAGGAGCAGGAAAGGAGGAGTCGGGAGGAGGACGTGTACAGAGGCAAGACAAAAAGGAGGATACGCAGGAGGAGCGTCAAGGGGAGGGAGGATTGGGAAGCGGAGGAGGCGGCGGAGGAGGAGGACGACGATGATAATGATGACGATGATGATGCTGCTGCTGCTGATGATGATGATGATGATGATGATGATGATGATGGTAATGATGCTAATGCTGATGCTGTTGACGATGACGATGATGATTGTGGTGGTGGTGATGATGACGACGATGATGCTGATGCTGATGATTATGCTGCTGCTGAACATGATGCTGGTGGTGATGATGATGGTGATGGTGATGACGACGATGACGATGATGATGCTGGTGGTGGTGATGACGGTGATGCTGATGATTGTCATTCTTATTACTACGGCGACTTATCATTGTTGTTGCTGGTGTTAAATTTTCATTTCTGAAAAGTATGGTTGATCCCCCCTCCGGGGCACATTCGATTTTCCAGTTTAGGTGCTCCCCCCGGGGCTCGCATCCGGTGTTTTGCAATTGGAAGCGGGGTGCCACCAAACCGGGCCTCTGGCCCCCGAGCTATGACAACAACGGTTCCCGCCGGATGCTTTCGCACGATTCTCCACATCGCGCCCTCGCGACAGAATTCCTCACACGTTATGCAGGGATCGCGCTCTCGCGTGGGACTTCTTCGCAATTTATTCAGACGCCGCGCCCTCGACACAGGAATCACGCTTTCCCTGTAGCCTGTCTCACGATACGGTTCAGCAGCACGCCTTCTCGACCTGGCCGCTTGGGCCCGCCTTCCCGACCCGCCCGTTAGGATATAACCCGCCCGATGGGCCCATCTGGCTCTGCCACGCGTTTTCTGCTCCTGGCCCCCCTCCTGCTAATCCCGTGGTCCATCCTTCTCCCTCCCCCTTCCATCCGTCCTCTCTTCCCCTGTTTCAGAGGGTTCCACCAATTTCACGCGGCAGGTATGGAAGATATAACCCCATGGGGTACGACCGAAGAGGAAGAGGGCGGGTATAGCGGGTTTTGGGACATACGTGTTGAATGGCGCGCGAGCCGGTAAGAGCTAACAGTCTCAAAATAATCGTCGTCTTCGTTGTTGTTGATATTGTTATTGATATTGTTGTTGCTGTGGTTGTCGGTGATGTTGTTGTGGTTGTGGTTATTGTTGTTGGTGTTGTTATAAGGTTATGGTATCATTATTGGTATTGTTGTTGTGCTTGTTGTTGTATTAGTGCTTCCATGATTATTATTATGGTTCTTGTGACTGCTAGTATTCTTATGCTCATTTGTATTACCAGCATTTGTTCAATCATCGTCCATCGGCATGGAAGACGAATTCTGGTGGTACTGACTGCCAGAGCAGGTGTGGCTATGTTGGTGTGCAGTGCAGTTTCCCGTTGCAGGGCTTTTAATCGCCTTCTCGCCCGGCTGGGGCAAGCCATGCACGGGGCTCAAAGCGGCGGAACGTGCGATCGCGCGGGTAACTTCACGCGTGGCTACGGGCTTGGGCTGCCTCACCATCGGCATCCGAATCGTCGAGCAGAGGAGCTGTCTCGTCATGTATCTGTTCACTAACGGGCTCAAGGCTGGCGGAGGCGAACCGGGAGAGGGAAGGGTGAAAACGAGCCGTTTTTCGTTTGCGGCCTCGTGTGCTGGTTGGCGTGATGCAGTCTCTAGAGTCTGACCTGAGGGCGAAGCTGTTCTTAGCGGGGCGCAGTGCGTTCATGTCATCTACTACGTGCCATCTACTACCGCGGGCTGAGAGGAGCCAGAAGCGGTCAGCTGTTTGGCTGTTGTCTGGGACGAAAAGAATCGGGGCGCGCGTGGCGCCTGCCAGAACCTGCTGTCGAATCACGTCATTTGCAGCATGTCCGCCCACGTCCCCAGCTCCTCTTCTAGCCATCCTGGCGGGGATACCCCCGACAGTACCTTGCACTTGCCCTCCGTGCGGAAGCCGCCGAGCACGCTCATGGCTGGTCCCACCTGTTCATCGCGGTCTGGCGCTTGACGTACTCATTGTCGTGGAACGGCTCGAGGCGGAGGAACGACACGTTGGTCTCGATGTCCTTTTTGGTGATCTCGGGCTCGGCTTCCATGTCGCTGGACGGGGTTCGAGGCCTGCATCGGCTCTTCCATGGTGCCGCCGATGTCGCACGTCAGAAGGGTCTCCATCATGGCGACTGTGAGCTCTGCCATAGGAGGGCCGAGCGAGGCGAGACCTTCTTCCTTCTCCATGTGGCTGCTCCAGCTTGTGCTTGTAGAGCTCGGGCTCGCGCCCAGCGCCTGGATGATGCTGTGCCTCACTGGCAGGGTGACTGTGCCCACGGCGATCGCTTGCATGACGCGGATCTCCCGAGTGTTTCGGCGAGGAGGAGTTTCGCCCTGCCCCTCCACGGTTCGCACGAGTGCGTGCCGCGACGGCGGCGCCCCCCCCCCCCTCCCCGCCCTGCGGCACGGAGTGCCCCCAGCCTCGTCCGGCAGAGCGCCCTCTCGCCCTCGCGCCCGCCCGTCCGGCGCAGGCGCTCAGGTCGCCCCCGCTCGCTCTTCTGCCCCGCCTCAGGAGCGAAAGAAGGACGTACACGTACATGAATCCACGCTGTTTCCGAGAGTTCGCACTGCACGAATGCTCGTGTCACGCGGCAGGTCTCGCGAGCCAAGGGGCCGTGTTCATGCACATAGCTGGGCGCGTACGTCCTTTGTGGGGTCCCTGCCGCCGACGCCCCGTCCTCGGAGCTCCCTGCTGCCTCCTCCACCAGGTGCCGCGGACGCCGCCGAGGAGGGCGGCCGGCGCCGCCCTGCTCGTGGGACCCCTGCCGAGAGCCGCAGCTGCTCCGGCGGCGGTGCCCCGCCGTCGTCGAGGCCGGCCGTGCAAAGGCCCTGCCGTCGGTGCCCAGGTGGGCGGCGCAGCAGGACTCGGACGTGCTCAGCCGACGCTGCTGGAGTGAAGTCGAGCCTGTCCCTCTACAGAAGGAATATTCAGAAATGGTACAAAAAAATGTTCGAGGGACTATTTTCTGGGTATTTTTTAAAAATTTTTCGTCCAAAATCCCCCTGTAGGGGACGTGCCCGACTTGATGTTGGAGCTGGCGGCCCTGGGGGAGCCAGGGCGGCTGTCGGCGCGGCGGGTCTCCGAGCTGGTCTCGGAGCAGTGGTGCGGTCTCGGCGGCGGTGGTTCTCCTCCTCCTCCTCTTCCTCCTCCCCCTCCTCCTCCTCCTCTTCCTGCTGGTGCCGATCAGCGTGGCCGCCTGGGATGCCCTGCGCGTGTTCGAACTGTCCTCGAGGTGGCGGGCAGGCCTTGGCGGCGCCGCCGCGGCGCTGTCGGCGGCTCTGGCGGGGCCGCGCGCGCGAGGGGTACACATTGTTAATTGTCTAATTCCTTGGAAGCTCTTTGATTTTTTTGGGGGTCAAGATCCTTTCAGTTCTAAGTGTTCGATCCTGGGCCTCTTCCTGGCCACTAGGGTCCAGGAGCAAGCAGAAGCGAGCACACTTCGAAACGAGCACGATTAGAAGTGAACCACGTGTGGCGATGCAAGCCTTCATCCATAGCCCAGGTGGCGACGACGTTATGTGCGTCAGCATGTGGTCTCGCGTTTCCAGCGGATCATGAAATTCCTGGGCGCAGCATTTCGATGCCGATGGTTCAAAGGGAACAGCGTCGGACTGACGAGTTTGTTGATGAAGGCATCGCCCCTATAGCCATGGCCTTGTGTGATGCCTGGTGTGACATGTGTTGTCGATGCTGTTGAACACGGTGCCGCATACCAAACACTTCTTGCCGAGCATAGCCGTACACTGAATCGTCGGACATCCATGTCGATGCGTTTGCGTGTTTACTAGGTGTGTAACAGACTACAGACAATAACACGTTTCTGATGATAACGATTATGGTGATGACGTCGATGGTGGTGATGATGCATATGATGAATGTGATGATGCTGATGCTGATGATGATGATGCTGATGATGCCGATGATGAGTATGAATATGAGGATGATGACGATGTCGATGAAGCACACGACGATGCCGATGACGATGACGATTACGATAACGACGATGACGATGACGACGACAATGATGCTGTTGCCAGTGATGATGATGACGATGATGATGATGATGATGATGATGATGATGATGATGCTGATGATGATGATGATGATGCTGATGCTGATGCTGATGCTGGTGCTGCTGATGATGCTGATGATGTTGATCATGGTGACGCTGGTGATGGTGGTGTTGATGATGATGATTGTGATGCTGATGCTGTCGGTGATGATGATACTGACGCTGATGCTGCTGCTGATGATGATAATGACGACGGTGGTGATGGCGATGATGATGGTGATGGAGATGCCAATGATGAGGATGCGGATGCTGATGGTGATGATGATGAGGAGGAGGGGGAGGAGGAGGATGAGGAGGATGAGGAGGAGGAGGAGCATTAGGCGGAGGAGGAGGAGGAGGAGGAGGAGGAAGAGGAGGAGGAGGAGGAGGAGGAGGAGGAGGAGGAGGAGGATAGTGAGGAGGAGGAGGAGGAGGAGGAGGAGGAGGAGGAGGAGGAGGAGGAGGATAGTGAGGAGGAGCAGGCGGAGCAGGTGGCAGGGAGGAGAAGGGAGGATTGGGGGAGGGGGAAGAGTGGAAGGAGGAGGAGGAGGAGGAGGAGGACGAGGAGGAGGAGGAGCAGGAGCAGGAGGAGGAGGAGGAGGAGGAGGAGGAGGCGGAGGAGGAGGAGGAGGAGGAGGAGGAGGAGCAGGAGGGGCGGCCTCGCCTTTCCCCCTTCCTCCGTGCATGTCCTTTGTCTGTCTTCACCTTGACATCTTACATCCTAGCCACGGCCAGCGGAACTTCAGGCCATCAGCTCTCAGCTTCCAGGAGGGGC